TATTGATCCCGCAACCCATAATATGCCGTCGAACCAGACTCCATCGAAGACAAGTACGGGCCAAGGTCCCGTTGTATAAGGCTCTTGCGGGGTCTCCACGCCGAAGCTTCCGGTGAGATACGTTTTGCGTCTCCGGAGAAGGTGGGTCCGTTGATGACTTCAGGCCGGTGGGGAAGCCGAACGACATTCCATCCAGCCGACTTATTCCAAACGATAGAACATTATAATATATCATATCAGATCTAAAGAAAAACGTGCATGTTTCTTGCTTCAAACTGTAAAGCAAGCGTAGTGCAGGCTTCATAGAGGTGGCGAGATTTCTCCTCAAGGCTGCACACCTACTAAGTCTAGGTAAGATAGATCTTCAGTATCGAAGGAAATGAATTTGTTTATCCAACTTTGGTGATGTCGGCTACCTGGCGCTCTTCCACGAGAAAAAGACAAAGATAAGAAGAAATTTGTGATAAGATCGCTCTCGGGTGCCTATTATCTCAAATTACTTCGTTTGATGATAAGGGCGACTGGCTGATGGTTCGGTCAGAAACGTCGCACGTCACCTATACCGTAGTAAGAAGCAGTGCAGTGTGTTTTCACAAAGGACACTTCCTCCACTACCAGTAAGAGTCTACAACTATGGCTTCTGTGGTTTGTGCATGCACATCTCATTTACCTGCTGTTCTAGCTTCTGGAGTTCTGAGCGTGCCTAATGCCAAGGTAACACAACATGACGTTTAATTCAGACAATTATATCTGCTTTCCTAAGTAATGATGATTTGAAAATAGTGCTTGTTACGTAAACACTTGAGCATGTCAAGGTATCAGCCTCGATACTGGCCCCTTTCTTGCGTTGAGTGTATCGTTGCGTTACGTTGATTGTTGTACTGCCGAAGCACTTGACACTTTTTTGGAGTTGGAATCCAGCTCAATACCTAGTGCAATGTCGCCTCTGCTTTGGATACAGAGTGTATCTGTCTATCTGTCCAAAGAGCTAAGATCTTCAAGGTTATGTTGTGGAGACCTGTTCTCAAGGATTTATCATCATATCACGAGGTAGGTATAATGTGATAGACTAAAGTTATTGCACAATGGAGTTGACAGCGGCAAATGAGTAAATAGCTTGAGCCATAGAAGATGCTACTATTCCTTGCTGGTACTCAAGGCTCCCCTCGGACCATGTCAAGTTCCAGCTTTAGTTTCCTGTTCAGCTCATAGGCGTTTCCACTGATGTAGTGAGATTTGGTTCTCTTGTTGACTGACATGCATAGTAGAGTCTAGACCCATCAACGACCTCGCAGGAGTCCACAATCGTACGAAGTAGACTTTCGGTCATGTCCCGGAGAACCAGACAAGTAGATAATCTGGTTATAATCTTGAGCTTGACTGGGTGTGAAGAAGGTCTAGAACGTCAAGGTGTGCCCTGCTACAGCCTACTATTGACGCCCGAGTTCTTGAGAGCAAAATACCTCATACTCACTGCTTCTCCTTTTTCTCTCAGCCATGATGAGCTGAAGATCTATCTAGTGCATAAATCTCATCACGTAAGAAGTCAATGCAGTGGAAATGCAATCTAAAGGCCGAAGGGCAGATGATGATTGTTTGTCCACAGCTAAATGAAGCCGCAAGCTCGTGTATTCAATCTACACTTGCTCAATTCCTCGGCCCGAGGCCCCGATGTCGTTATTTCGATCAATGTGTATGTCTTCAATGTTTGCGTTCGCCTGCCTTGCTGCTTTGATAGACCGCTTACATGTAATTACTGCATTGGGAAAGGCTGAGCGTTGAAAGGAGAGGGCTATGCAAATCTCGCTTTGCGATGTCCGAGTCCCACTACCCCAGTAAACGGCGAGGATATAACTCGCTGCTGGGTGTCGGCAATGCCGTTTCATGCAATACCAACCACTCAGTGAGGCTCTCTTGCATTCACAGTCGATCACCAAGGTACTTTGCATTAGCGGCAAACCTAAACATCAGCCCTTTGATGTCGTAACCAATCATCCAAACATTGAATCCGCGAACGGACTCTTCATAAGATGGAACCGCGTCCAAAATGTTAACGATCGTATGATCATTGATGCAGAGAAGGCCCGAAAGACCCTCGAGGATTGAACCCTTGCTTGAACAGTTTGCTCAAGTTTTGACGCAGATCAGAATGCAAGACGCAACTCTCGGGTCTTTTCTCATTTCCCGGTAGTTGAAGCCCCTAGGTTGCTAGTAGAACCCACTAGAACCCTTAATAAATTTAGTCGCGACTTTAGTTCAGCAATGAAAGAGCCCCGGTAGTGGCCTTGTCGGGAGTTCAGACAGGGGCATTCCCGAAAGACTAGATGCAATGCCAACGTCTTTGCTAGTAAAGTCGCGAAGCCCCATTTACTGGGACATAGAGGTAATAAATTTGCCAAGCCATGAGATGTCTTATGAAAAGAGACGAAACTAGTCAGAGTCACGATGTGAAGTCCTCCGGTAGAAGTTGGCCCGACGCACTGGCGTCTGACATGTCAAACGTCCTCATCCCAACATGCTGTTGGCATAGTGTACCGTAGTTGACAGCCTTGAAGACAGGCGGAGAAGCTGATTCCATGTGGCATCTGCGTCGGGTCAAGTCCCGGGCGTGTGTCAGTAAGGCGAGGAGGATGATCGAGCGCCTCAATGTCAGCCCAAACTCATGGATCAACTACGTGGGGTATCACACATGCACCTACCATGTTGTGGTGTTTGGAGGACCCGGAAGCCTATTTTATGATTAGTATCAGCATAAATCACATGCAGGCTCAAAGGCACGACATCAGAAGTCGTGCATATCAGGTCAATAATCCTAATGCGACTCGGCCGAGTGCACTTCTTAGAATGTCCGGTAAATGTAGACCGATGTGATTGCGCGGTTGGAGAGGCCTCCTTGCGAAGCGGATCACCCGGCACGAAAAGAGACAGCAGCTCGGGGGCGGAGTACCTACTTCAATGATACCCCTTAGGTAGTCGGCGACGGAGGAGCTCGAAGACCGGCGGCCTATCGGTTGAATACAGCATCATCATTCGGGAGTCGTGCCCGAACGATTACCGCGCTCCCAAGTCTCAACGCCATCCCAAGTCCGCGAGTGAGCATGTTTTACCTAGGTAATCGTCGAGACGACGATGTAGTGTGCGACACTACAAGTGGAATGGGCAATCTACCAAAAACCGGATCACATCGGAATTTCTCCCCCCAAACCGCCGACGGAGAAGACTTTGGTAGACAATCCCCAGAGCCCCTCGTCGATAGCCGGGAGCTCCCAGACCGATCGCCGCGTTCCTGTCTCAGGTTTATGAATCTGGTCATGGACCTTCCATGCTTCAAGCCTGCAACAAGCTTATTTGAACCCTCGGGACCGATACTTATTTTCTGCCAAGGCGTCTCGTGAATCGATACGCCGGACCTGCCATGAGTTTAGGATGACAGCTGACAGGAGGCCCTTCTCTTCGCTGTTAGCGGAAACAACCGACTTCTTTTGACTCTTGGGCGGGCCAAGATTCATGGAAAGTAGCATGAGGTTGCACGCGCCCAAGGTGGTGTTAGAACACGGGAACTGAAACTGGTGCCTCTACCCAAATGTGGTTGGTGCTCGGATTCAATAAGACTGTCAGTTAAGACCTTTTGTTGATCTCTAAGCCTCAGCCCGTATGGTTGGGTCGTGATCTACAGGTGTATTAACCTTTCTAGGAGATCCACAGATGCCCAAAGCTCGCTTGTCGGAATGTAATCATGGTTGAAGATCAGGTCATGTTGGATTGTTGAGAAGACTTCACACAGGCAGCAATTTCCCAAAGTCATGGCCAAAGACCAAAGAGTCGACTTGCAATCGGTCCGGCTGCGATGCATCTTGTCTTAGCAACAGCAGTGGCCGTATGAACTACTAACCTAGGTGGGAAACTTTTGCTCATCATCCTATCACTAAAGAAGCATCTCGAGTGGTTTACCACTTCGACATGGACTTCGCTTGAGCCCCGCATGCGACGATGCGTTGCAACACTATCTACCGTGAAACTATCAAATGGTAGGTTGCTCACCCGCGCGGTGTCAACTTTGACTTCTTTAGCGATCGATTGTTATGATCTGCTCACATGCGGAGAAGAACTGCTGGGTACAACCGAGGGATGATGTGCACTAACCGCGTTCATGGTGACGCGGCAATCAGCGGGATGGCAGACAACAGGGCATCGCTGGCTCCCAGAAGACGCAAATTGTGAGAAAGGGTACCTCATCATCGTTCCGTAGATGGACTAGGCACCTTACACTCGTCTCAGTCTGATTCATCTGAAGTTGATGGATTGACACTTAGCCACTTGTCACAAGACGTCAGTCGTCACAGATGGTAGACATGTCTGTGCCATCCCAGCTCGTTAGCGACGCAAGCCCGCCCTTCTGAACACCAACACTACAACTTACAAGGTAATGTTTGATTCTGGAGCTCTTCTAGGGGGCCACTGCATCTGGTCCAAACCCTCGAAAGCGATGCTGGGCGGTCCCTGGCCCGGGCGAACATGTTTGTTTTCCCAAGCCCACCCCCACCAGGCCGCGGTGTGAAGACAGTTTCAACGAGGAAAGCTCAGGGGAGAGGATAAGCTCATCTGAAGTTTTCCCATGTGGAATTGGTATCACAGCGAGGGGTTTGAGTAACTGCTTGGAGAAATTACCGCGAAGACAATACATGACTTCATAAAACAAGCGTCCCACTCGGGAAAGCTAGTGCCGGAACACGACCCATGGATTTCACTGCCCTCGATTCAGCCTGGATGTGATGTTTTGGACCAGCCTGGAAGCCGAACATTAGCCATACTTATTATCGACCATGTCGGCACGTTCCTGAACTTGATTGGGATGACGATTGGCACTTTTTAGCTCTCAAGATCAACAACATCGCACGACGAACGATATCTTGTGCGAACATGTCTGGCACGAAACAATCACAGAGTCCTCAGGACAGCCCAGCCACCAAGACAGCACGGGGTGTGATGAACTGCAAGCCATGTCAAGTCCGCAAGGTATTTTGTTTCCATTGCTGCAAATAATATTGTTTCTGATCGGCGTCTCGCACTCGTGCAGATCAAATGCGACAGAGCGTTACCAGCGTGTGGAGTCTGCCAACTCTATCAGAGGTCTTGTTTCTATGGTAAACTACAGCAACAATCGTCACTGCCGTCGTGCATCAATGTAACTAACCAATAATCCAGAGGGCGTTCCCAAGAAAAGAGGTCCCAAGAAAGAGTCACTGAGTGCTTTGATCAAACGAATCGATGGCCTCGAGGAGCTTCTCAAATCCGACAAGACACCAACTCCGCCTGGTTCCGATGCTGTTCCCGCCGATTTCAACGAACTGCATGTTTACAGCAACAATAGTGCCGAGCCTTGTGGCTCTGCATCATCAGACGTTTCTCCCTACAGTGCCTTCCATGAGGGAAGCTTTGGGACTAACAAGTATGTTCAACGATCTGACATCCTTCGACTTTTGCTAGGACCTCTCCGATTGACAAAGAGCTAGTGAATTCCCATCCATCATAAATGCAGAAGGTTTGGTAGACACCTACTTCACGCATTTCCATCAAAATCCGTACCGCATCTTGGATGAGGAGGTCACCAGACAGAAGCTCAGAAACAACAAGATGCCAAAGTCATTGCTGTACGCTATTTGCGCAGTGTCCACAAGGTAGGATGGAAACTGCTAGAAACCAAAGAGCAGAAGAAGCTGACATAGAAATAGATTCTCAGAACAGCCTAGCCGGGGGCCAAGCAGTCATGTTTCCGCAGAAACGTACGCGTCTTGGGCTCTCAAACACATGGACATAGGAGACACTACGATCGAGAACTGCCAAGCGTTGCTGTTGCTCGTGACAGCTTTTGCGGCAATGGGGAACGGCAGGAAAGCTTACAGCGTACTTTGTGAGTCAAGAGGAACTCCTGTACCTTTTCCCCGCACAAAACTAACGCAATGGGCAAAGCTCAAGCCGTAGGTGCAGTTTTGGCTCTTGAATTATATGAAGGGTTAGAACAGCCCGACGACTACAACCATACGCAAAGCAAGATGAAGAAGAGGCTTTTCTGGACCTGCTACGTGATGAACGTTTTTGTGTCAACATGGCTCGAGAGACCTTCATTAATCGACGACGCTCTTATCAAGACGACCATCCAGTCATCTAGACAAATCTCTCAGGCCGGTTGGCCGCCGAACAACGAATGCTCCTTGACAGTCGAACCCGAACCAGTAAGCGAATGCGCAGACGATCCAGATAATGGGCTACAGAAACTCGTATGGATTGCCCACATCCTCTCCGACGCCAACAGATACCTACTCATTACAGACCCGACGACACAAGCGGCATTCGCCCATCGTCACAAGATCCGACACGATCTCGACCTCTGGGCGGCTGAAATCAGCCGCAATCCCGATTCCCTATACCAAGACCTTCGAGGCGCGGAAGCTAACACCATGCTCGAATGCCAAATCATCTACCACCTAGTACACTGCCTCATCTATCGTCCACTTCTCCCATTGCATCTAAGCGAGCCAGCCGGGGCCATGATGATACAGCACTGGGTAATCGAGGCAACGGAAGTCGCCTTTCGACACGCGACGGCCATCATTGAGTTGATCGATCACGCGATGCAGACAAGGTTCCTCGAACTCCCGGCTTTCGTCTCCTACTGTATTTTTACGGCCGGAACCATTCACGTCCACGGGATGCACTATACCAACGACCACCAAGATCAAGGAGCAGGAATAGGGCTCCCTTCGTTCGCCAGCTCCCCGATGGCAGCCGAGACCTTTGCGACCTCTGCGGAACTCGTCAGCAAGTGCCTGTACCAACTCTCGGCGATAGGCAACGAGGTTGAGTCCTCTCGGACGTCCAGAGCGTACCTCGATGAGCTCACGAAAGAGCATGCAAAGATGCTAGGGAAGGGTGCAGCTGGCTACATCCCCTCGCAAACCAACAAGTTCTTCAACAGATACCCCGCGGAATTGCGCCAGCGCATTCAAGGCTTTCATTTCGGTCCGCTGCCACCAAGCATGCTCTTACATCCATATCCACCAGAAACTCCAGATAGCGGCCCTAGAAAAATGATGATCCCATCGAGGCCTTGGGGCCAGAACATGAACCCAGGTTCTGCCACCACCGAGATACCGGTCGTGTCATCTAACACGAGCATGGGACAGCGAATCGGCCAGCCTCAAGGCCACTCACGGTCTTATTCGGATAGCACTCCTATGACACAGACATACTCGTTCGCGACAAACGCGCCGGTCTCTCAGAGACCATTGCCCGCATGGCTAGGATTTCAAGACGCGACGCCTAGGCAGATCATCACCCACGGGACACCTATGCTTGGTCCCTCAAGCTCATCACAGCTCACCTCTCCAGTAGCCCAACAAGGGCCAACGTCTACCGTTGAACGGAGCAACTGGAGCGGCGCGGAAGGCTTTGGGGGAAGAGCAGATGAATCACTCACTTATGACATCGTCGCCGGTGCTGTCACTACGGCAGGTCCGATGTATCGGCCAGAAGGCGCCTATGTACAATACCAGAACTTCTCTGTATTATAGTTTAAAAAGCGAGCCAACATACCCAAAGTTTGTCCGTTTCTTTAACCATGTGTTTCAACTAGACTCAGGTGAGGTACTTGCCAAACTGGCCTCCATTTTGAGGTTGATGGAGCAATATTGGATGCCTTGCAGGGAACTGCGTGATGTTGGTCTACTCGGTCGCGAGTAGAAAGTATATTCGGAAGGAGACATCGGCTCTTCCGCCCATGGACTTCTCTCCTCTCCCACATTGATGTAGTACACTTCACAGGTTCACAGAGAAATACCAAACACACTTCTTCAACTCATCCTTACAGTAAGGTAGAATTCTCCTTTTGCGTTCCAACAGTACAACTTTATTATGCATCACGCATTTCATCGCTCTTACTCCCCCAGCTAGAAACATCTACGCCGACATAGTAACTGTATGGGTCTGCTCATCCACGACCTCTCGGAAAATCTGGTTCTTCTTCGCCACATCATCCAGTCCAGTACGGTCACCAAAGACTTCATCCATCTGCTCCAGAGTCTTTCCATTCGTCTCCGGCACGCAGAACCAAACCCACACAAAGGCCAAGAGACAGAAAGCAGCGAAAAAGACGTATGCGCCGAATCCGGTTCCTTGAACCAAGGGAGGGGTAACCAGACCGATGATGAAGTTGTTGATCCAGTCTGGAAAATTGAAAGTTAGCAAATGTCGTAGATGGCAAGTGATCAGCTAATGACTAAAGAATTGGATATCAACTTACTAGAACAGGTAGAAATGGCAACACCCTTGGCCCTGAGCGATGAAGGGAACACCTCGGAAGGCAAAGCCCAGGGTACAGGTCCCCACGTGGCGCCAAAAACAAACATGTACATCAGCAAGAAAGCCACACTGACCCAACCCTGTGTGGTATGGCTGGGCCAGTCGTTCGAGTACAGTCCAACGAGGATAGCGATGACGGCTTGCGAGATTGTCATGCCCACGGCACCCGTCAACAAAAGCGATCTACGTCCGAAGCGATCCATAGTCCACAGACTGGGGATAACACCGACCAACTGAACACAGTTGAGGACACCAGACATGATGAGCTGCATGTTATGGTCGAGTCCCATAGTCGCGAAGAGAGTTGGTGAGTAGTAAATCAGGGCGTTGATCCCAACAAATCTGTCGAGATTTTAGTAAGGGTAAAATGCACGATTTGATACTATAACTTACTGTTGGAAGAACATAAGGCCAGCACCAACGTGTGTACGTCTCAGACATCCCTTCTTGAAGCAGTCACCCCAGGCGACAAATTCGAGCTTGACAGTGCTGGCAATGCCTCCGCCTCCAACAAGTGTGGGATGACGTTCAGCGAGAATAGAAGCCTGGAAGCGAGCCTCGGAAATGATCTCCATCCACTCGCGGCGAACGCGCGGGTCAGTGTCGGGGAGAACGCGGAGCTTGGCAAGGTTGAAGAGAGCCTCCTCTTCACGTCCCTTTGATGCCAACCAACGCGGAGAGTAGGGCAGGAAGATTGCGCCGAAACCGAGCAGGAGACCGGGGAGGATCTGGATGAGGAAGGGAAGCTGCCAGGACCAGTGGTTGGGGATATCCTTTGTGCCGTAGGTGATCCAGAACGCTACTACAATGCCGAAGACGATGGAGAGTTGCTCGAAGACGAGGAGAGAACCGCGAATTTCGGGAGGCGAGATTTCGGAAATATAGAGCGGTACGACCATGGAAAGCCTGGAAAGTGTTAGTTTTTGAGACATTCAAAGGGGAAGACTGTTGAACTTACATGCCAATGCCTAGACCACCGATAAAGCGACCTCCTACGAGCATATCGTAGTTGACAGCCGCAGTCTGGATGGAAGAGCCAATGGTGAAGATGACAACGGCAACCATGATGGATCGCTTTCGGGAAATCATGTCGGCAAGCCAACCTTGGTTCATGGCACCAATGAAGGCACCCAAAGTGATCATGGCAGTCATGAGACCTTTCTTGAATCCAGAACCCGCAGCGTGGTCAGAGACTTCCGGGAATCGGTCGAGGAACTGGTCCATGACCAGGGTGACTGAAATGACACCCTGGTCGTAACCAAAGAGGAGACCACCAATGGCGGAGAACGCTGCGCAGAGGGCTACATAGTGAGAGGCGAAGATTCCCTTGAAGCCAGAGGGTCCGTAGGGCTCGAGGGAGGCATCGGAGAGGACAGTCTCTTGTTGCTCGGTAGAGACGCCTGGGTAGTTGGTTGAGGACTTTTCCACCTCGGAGGCGGAGTTTGATCGAGCGCCCATCTCGTTTGAGCTGTTTGTGCAAAGGTCAGCATGAGTTGAGTTTTACACGTTCGTCATGTTTTGTTGCGTAGATGTGGTGTAGTGAAACAGGTTCGTGACTAAGCTGGTGTAAAGGGGTCTTTGGGATGAACTCACTTGACTGGGCTGTGAGAATGAGGAAGTGAGTTGCACTGGATAGATCAGGGACGACGTCTAGGTTACACGAACCCGGCAGACCGGTTCAGTCTATTGAAACTGAGAATAAGAAGTAAATCGGGAGGGGTATCACTGAAGAAGAAGGAAGAAGCTTTGGTCGAACCCGCCTGAGTCGCTCGATGAGAGTCGAGATCAACATCAAACACGGCACGCAACGTCGTCTTTATAGAACTCTGAGACTTTCGGGGCCACCGCCTGGCCCATGGCCAAGACATCCCGACTACGCCCGTCAAGTAAATTCATTGACAGTCTAGGGGGCACGGTTGGGGGATCCACACCTTTGGAAAGCCTTAGATACTTGTTTACGCCGAGCCTTGATGAGTGACGAGGGTGGGCAAGGGGGGAGGAGAGGAGACGGGATGGGGAAGAGGAACGCTACGGATACGCTTGCGCACAATAGCCGCCACGAGTACCACGACCAATGGCCGGATGCTAGTTGGTCAAGAATGGACGTGGAGGAGCCGCTAAATCGCGGGGTGTGCTTCAAAGATGGGTTTTCTGGGGATATTGGGGAAACCGTGTCAGGCTTCCAGCGTTCCCTGCGCAAAGACGCCAATCACGACTCACGCTACACCAGATACGGGGTGTGAGGAAGAGAGAGAGGCAGAGAAAGCATGGGGCACCCCTCGGCCATCAGTCCGGCACGAAGGACGAATTCAGGCACTGACGACGAACCAGCGAGAGACAGAATAGGGCCGGGGTTATGCCCGCCCTCGAGTTCGACAGCCCCACGGCATTTTGGAGAACTTGGCAGTTGGAGTTTTGGGGGTGTTTGCGAGGAATTGAAGGTAAATATTCGAGATCATGTTCGATGACAGAACTCAACAAACGATGGGTGCCCATTGCCGACACCATCCGACAATCAAGCACCACAGGTGAGACTACTATGGAAGAGCGTCGAAGAGGACATCACACCGACCGCACATGATGAGAGTCTTCTGCGTGTTTCTGGCACTTCCAAGCTGATAAGAGCGTATTTCTACGCAGTACAGGGGCCGTCTATCAGAAGATTCTCGCACATGAGTTGCCCGTGGGGAATTGACGGGTTAGGTGGGGTTTCTCTATTCCCATGTCTCGAAATACCAGAATACTCCGGAATCTGGCCGTGGATTGGCAGTGCCGAGCCTCCATGGATTTGGATGGGGGCTGGCAGACCAGGGGGTGGCCTCTCAGGTTCTCCCCAACACGAGTCAGGGGCCCATTTCCAACGTGCATTAACACTTTCGTCATAGGCTAGGAGGAGGAGGCCAGGACATGGTTGACGTGGAAATTCGAGCCGAAGCCTGAAGGAGCCTCACCGACAGCTGTAAGACCTAGGGAGAGAGGCTAGGAGCTTTCTTCCCATTCCATAGCGTCGAGCAACTCGCCCCGATGCACAGATTTCCTGAATTCACCAACGAGGAAATGCTTTTATCCCCCAACTTCCCTACCTCATCGTGATCGTCTCAATTTCACGAAACCGCGACAGGTCTGGACGAAAAGAGACAGATAGAGGTGGGAATCAAATCATGTCGACGACATGTCTGGTAAGTCGGCCCTATTCGCTTTGGTTTTTCACCCCCATTTCCCCAGAATTGTTGCCCACGCCCGACCCTCCGTGATCCGTGTTCTACCCCAGATTTCGCCTAAGCAATCAGAAGTTGTGGAAATGCTGCTGACTTCGATATCTGGGGTGGGCGATGTGGAATCTGTGGGATGAGATGTATAGACTGACTGCGTGCCCGTCGGACTTTGCATCCATCCCACTGTACGGAGCGCCCACGTCGGCGGACATACTCAACTCCAGAGCTAATAATGAACATGAACAACAGACTTGCAAAAAGCAACATCTCAAATGCGCGTGGGGCACAGATGACGATGCGTCTCCGTCTTCTTCTCGGCCCGACAACTACTTCAAATCATGTATTCGATGCAGAGCAACTGGCAAGGACTGTGTTCCGGCCCCCGCAATTCAATTCAAGCATGCCACTGAGTAAGTGACAGTTCGTTGTCTATCTCTATCGCCAACTTTAGAGAACTTGTACTTGGCCCTGTGGCCCCCCCAGTCGTTCCCCGCCCAATTGCGAATTACACTACACGACGTGCGAGTTGCGACATTGGTGAAGCAAGAGTCAAGACTTGCGCAAAGCGGAACCGAGATAATGACCTCGCCCGCCCCGTTTACCACTACAACTCTTCGTACCCCCATTTCGTTTTCGTCACGGGAACGAATCTGCAACTCTGTACTCCGTAATGCGCCATATTGTACTGCCTTTTTTGCGGGAACGCTGATCACTTACTATGGGTTTTGTCTCGCTGATTTAGGACGCCGAGCGCTACGGAGCAGACGTGGGTGCCCTATCCGCGGCGATGTAAGTTTACAGTCCCACCGTCCAGACCTTGCAAGTTGGAGAAGTTGGGGAAAATGAGGGGGAGATCTACGAGCAAAAACGGCGAAATATACCTTCTTTGGAATTGCCTTGGAACGAAGCTTACTCCGATATCACGCTTTTTCTGTCAAAATTGCCTAACTCGGTCACGTAGTACACTTTGTCGATGAAACCCAGGAACTTGAGGCTCTTTATTGGTCTGAACACGGCAGCCCGCCGCCGCAACTCCAACCGCAACCGCAACTACATCCACCGGCAGCACTACAGCCGCAGTTCGCATCGGCGGAGGGTCAGCGGGTACCGCTGCCAGCGATACATCCTGATCCTGGCTCATCATCATCATCCGCGTTGTTAGTGGACCAAGAACAACAACGACACCGAGGACAACAGCAACCCGATGACGCCGCATCCGCATCCCCGGCTCCCATCATCGACTCGCATAGTCGAGATTATCGTGATGTCCGGCTTCTAGTCCCGAGTCCTCACAGCCAACCCGCCTCTACGCCGGCTGCGAGTTGGAGAGAGGTTCAGGTGCAGACACCGACAACTTTGCCTTCTGTTTACAGCGCTATCCCATCTGGGTCAACTCTCGGGTTGGCTAATTTTGAGCATCATGACGATGTCGTGTTTCCTTTTACGCAGCCTCATGAGGTGAGGTTGATGAAGTACTATCTAGAGTATATGTGCACCTGGGTGAGTTGTCATCTTGTCATAACGTTCGGTTCAGGAATGCCTCCTGACAACTACGTGGTTATTCTAATTTCATGTCCTTACAGTTTGACCTATGCGACGCAAGACGGCATTTTGCCATCGTAGTCCCACGAAGAGCGACAACGTGTCCAACCCTTCTCAACGCAATCTTCGCCCTCTCCTCCCGCCACCTCAGCCTCCACGAACAATACGACCCCTACGCCTCAGACCGCTACCATCAAGAATGCCTCAAACATCTTACCACAATCTCAAACGACTCGTCGGCCCTCACAAACGATGATCTCCTCGCGGCGACAATCCTCCTACGCACCCTCGAGGAGCTCGATGTCCCGCTCATAGGGACAGACCACGAAGGCCACCTCCTCGGCATCCAGCTCTTCATGAACACGCAAAACGCATCCTCCCTCACCCCGCCGAGCTCCCTACGCCAGGCTTCCTTCTGGGTGGGACTCCGGCAGGAAATCACCATGGCGTTTGCGACGCAGCGGCCGATCAAAGTCAAGCTCGACCACCTCTTCATCGACCGGTCCTTTTCGCCGGCCGATGATGATTGCTGGGCGAATCGCATCGTCGTGCACTGCGCCGAGGTGGTGCAATTTTGTTTTGGCGAGGTGGAGAACCGCAAGAGCGAGTATCAGCGGCTGGTTGAGTATGACTACAACTGGCTACGCGCGAGGCCGCTTTCTTGGTTGCCTATTGCGTATTCTGAGCCGGATCATGCTTCAGGCTTGGTGTTTCCGCAGATCTTTTACATTAACCATGCTGTCGGTTAGTGTCTCCCCTTTTCTAAAGCCAGGACTATTTCCACTCTCTGCTCGTAGCGATGTTTAGTGGACGTGCCCACTAACATAGCCTAGTGATCGGAAATGTGCATGGGGCGTTAGCCCGCGCGCTCTTGATGTGCCACGACGAGAGCATCCCGAAAATAGGACCTAGTCGAATCCGAGCCCGACAAAAGCTAGACGTAAGAAGTCTTTCTTCTGTTTAACTCATTCGGTATCTCAAGGATCTTGCTAACACAGCAATCTGTAGAATGACATTCGTATGCAAGTCCGAGAACTATGCGGCGCGGCGCTATCAAACAAAACCACGATACCGGCCATGTTTACGGCCTGCATGGGCGTCACGGCATGCGGAGACAGATTCGTCGAGTATGCTGAACAAAAAGCCCTATTGGATATTCTAGTCAAGACGGACGTCGAGCACATGTGGCCCACTGCGTCGGCACAGTCGCACTTGAAGAGGGCGTGGGGGTGGGAAGATGATTCATGAGCAGACTACGTATGTCTTCACCAATAGCAAGCCATTGTTTGCATGCAATTGAATGTATCACCTGCATACGGATACTGTAGTCGTAACGCGTTGGTTTATTTGCATCTCGAGTCGCAGCATTCCGAGGGGACGGGACTCGGTTCCCGAAACTTGCCTTTACGTGTCTACAGCCAACAGCCACGTTGACAATCCCGTGACGAATATGGAAACGCACGCGCCTGCAACCTAGATTAGAACGACTTCATCTCCGGTCATCTGGCCTTCTCCATTACCCCGTACTCCAGGAAACCGGCACTAAGGCCAAGGCAAGGGGGGTGAAGTCAGGTACCGGGGGAGTCTGGGGAGAAGATCCCGACAGAGCGGATCTAGACAACCTTTGCGTACGGAGTACGGAGTAGGATCAGATAGAACTTAACTGGCCATTACCCCGTATCCGCAATGCGGGTTGCATATTGCCTATGAGATTGTGATACATGCAGGGCATGACCAGCCGGATCTGGAACGCACACTTACCGGCTACCCCAGGTTCCTAACGAATTCAACAAGTTTTTCTTAGTTTTTCCTTTAGCCTTTAGATATTGGGGTATATCCGTAGTGTACCATACTTAGTCGCAGGGTGGCGGGATTATACGCGGAGCTCGGTCTCGCTCACGTAATCTCCCCGTAAGACATAGAGATCGGACAAAGTTGCTGGAGTCTCCCAATTAAGAGTCGGGGAAACTTACCCCGATATCAGGAACAACCAATGCGAGGTTCTGCTTTGTCCATTTCCAAGCCCCCACCTGCCTCATTCCCTCAAAGAGGAAAGTGGGCTGTCTTACACCGTCCAAGTTTCGAGATGCCTCAAAGCTTCTTCCAGCTCAGCATTACTGCAAGTTCACGTGGACTCTCGGCGCGTCTTGACTCCTGGGCGCGCTTTTGTGGGATTCTGACATGCGCTTCCACTTTCCACTGGTCAATTGGCATGAGATGGTATCCTCAACAGCGTCAGAGCTGCCCCGCGATGGAGCTGTCTGCTCTTGTCGGGAAATGGTTTCCGATAGAGCTCCGAGGACGGTGAGGTTCCGTATGAAGAGCGGTGGGATATAAGACAATAGAGGTCCCTGGTGGTTTTAGAGCTGTGTTAAATTGTCCTCGGTACCTTTTGATCCCTTCCAGATCGCACATTTGCGTCAGTTGTCTCAGACTAGAGAGCAGGAATTCACGTCGCTTCGCGTCACCGCCATTATCCGTACATTCTGCCTTCTTTGATACCCTCAAGACCGTCAAGCTACGGAACGATTTGCATACCAGGAGAAATAGACATAGACATAGACCGCAAGCTACCCCCGAACGCCGGATCGAGCTCCGTTACATCACCACGAACCAGCACCACCACCCGAACATCAGAAAGCAGCAAGAACAAAAATGTCAACCAAGAAGCTTCAAGTAGGCGTCGCAGGCCTCGGCCGCATGGGCAAGCGCCACGCCCTCAACTTCCACCAGAATGTGCCCCGCGCGACCCTCGTGGCCGTCAGCTCGCCCGATGCCGGCGAGCGCCAATGGGCCGCCGAGAACCTCGCCCCTCACGGCGTCACCGTCTACGAGTCCTACGATGACATGCTCGCCCACAAGGGGCTGGAAGCCGTCTGCGTGGCATCCGCGACCTCTGTCCACGCCGAGCAGGCCAACAAGGCTATTGAGAAGGGGAAGCACGTCTTGTGCGAGAAGCCGTTGGGCACCACAGTTGAAGTTGTAAGTTGCTTTCCAAGTCACACACCAGCGAACCAGTTTTTGAGTGTTGCAGTGTAACTAACACACCCCGACAACAGTCACAAACCGTCGTCGACGCAGCCGCAAAACGTCCCGACCTGAAAGTAATGTGCGGCTTCTCCCGCCGCTTCGACGCCTCCTACCGCGACGCCCACGCAAAGATGCAACAAGGCCTCATCGGCCGCCCCGCCATTCTCCGCAGCCAGACCTGCGACGTCCTCGACCCCTCGGGCTTCTTCGTCGCCTACGCCCAGTTCTCGGGAGGCATCTTTGTCGATTGCAGCATCCACGACATTGACCTCGCGCTCTGGTTCTTTGACGAGGAGACCACCAAAGTCAAGTCAGTCCACGCCGTTGGCATCACGGCCGTCGAGCCGGACCTGCGGAAGCACAATGATCGCGACAACGCCGTTGGCACGGTCGAATTTTACGATGGGCGGATCGCGTACCTGTATGCTTCGCGCATGATGGCAGCAGGCCAGGAGGACTCGACAGAGATTATTGGTACCAAGGGCAAGTTGTCGGTTAACCTGTTGCCGGCTGAGAACCACGTAAAGATTTACACGCCGGGAGGCATCCGGCAGGAGCTGCCGCAGACGTACTGGGACCGGTTCAGAGCTGCTTTCACGACGGAGGCAGTTGAGTTTACCGAGAGCGTGTTGGAGGATAAGCCGGTGCCGGTCAAGTTGGCTTCAGCGGTGGCTGCTGTCAAGATTGGGGCGGCGTTGCAGGAGTCTATGATTAAGGGCAACAAGATCTGGTTTGATGAACAGGGTAACCGGACAGAGAAGGCTCAGTTGTAAGACAGTAAAATGCATCCGGCCTTCGTGGCCTTGATCTATCTTCGGGACCACCATGTAATTGGGTAGTCTGTAAGAATGCCATAACTTGAGTGGTGGCTGCTACTCCATTCGCTTGCTATCTCCTCCATCATACCCCTGGGGGACTCATTCCATGTCCGGAGATACATGACCCACAAGGGCATGTTTCTTGGGTGGAACACTGAAATCTTTCAGCACTGAGGTAATGTCAGCCATGCTCTGCATCGATTTGGAATGGAGTCAATACCTTGTAGGTGTTGTATGCCTCTATGCTTGGACAGAATTCTCATAGCAATCTCTCTCGCTCCTGTAGCATTCACACAGTACTTCAAGGCGTTCACTTCCACTCGAGAACTCGCAAGACGCTGCATCACTGCGCCCACTGAGGAACATCAGGGGAACGATCGACTTCAAGAAGGTCTGCAGCTCTTCTCCAAATCGTCTCCGTCGAGACTGAAGTTTGGTCGTGAGCTGGATGACGTCTCTGTATTGATGGTGAGAGGAAGGTCTTTAGACAGTAGAGCAGCCAGTGGCAAAGTAAAACCACGCACCACCGGAAATTGAATGGCTTTGGCGACTCACCAGGAGGCTCGACTATTAGCCGGCCTTTTCTTATTTGCTTCCTCGTTTCTCGGTCGGCCTTCCAGATACTGGGGGCAGGAGAAGGGTTCTGCGTCGCTCTTGCTTGTGGAAACGAAGAGGTACTCTGCTGAGCGCAGCTGGTAGGGGCTTTGATCTTGTGTGTCCTAGAGCTCGTCGCACTAGCGCTGGGTGCCCTGATATTTGGCTCTTTGGAAAGCTGTTCTTGGGATCTACCCGAGAATTGAAAGCTTCGAGGAAGGCTTTCACTGTTGAAGGTGTATGAGCGACCCAGTCGGTCGGGAATAACGGGAGCAGCTATCCCCTCGGTCTGTGAGACATTAGAGCCGCTCAGTACGTACTCTCTTCGTGCTCTTTCGACAACACCAGTGATAGTTGTCTTCTCCTCCTGAACGTGGCCGGTAGTAGCTTTGCTGTTAGAGGCCTCAGGTTGCTCTCTCTGCGGATCGCCAGAGAATTGGAAGCCTTGAGGGAGGCTGTCGCCGTTGAAGGCGTATGAGCGATTAGATCGCTGATGCATGACAGGGACAGCCGTCTGCTTGGTCTGGCGGGCACTGGAGCCTTCGGTCGTGGACATGGGTAGGTGTTCTTCCTGAACATGGCTGCAGAAGTTCAACAATGCACTTTCCAATGTTATGTGTTTGTTGGAGACAACGGTGGTCTTCTCATCCTGAGATTGAGACTTCGGCGCTGCAACTGTCTGCGATGAAGGCTCAATGGAGGTTGGTGGCGCGATGTGCTTACTTGTTCCGATGACTGGGACGATTCTTTCATCACCCTCACTGCAGGACTTCCAGTGAGTCGATTCATGTGAAATTGATGATCCAGGGCGAACAAGAGGGGCAGCCACATGTGCAGTGGTTTCTCTCGAAATCTCTGAGAGACTAGGTGTATCGCTCTGGTCGATTGCTGCCAACACACTTCCGATGGCGGCACTCTTCACCTCGAAGTCGAACTTGAAACTTTGCGGAATTTGGGTCACTGTCGTCCAGTCAGCCCGTGAAAAGAGTCAAAAGAAGACGAAGTCTTGTGGAAATGACATCAAAACTAGCCGAACCTCGAAAAGAGTACTTACGTCTAGAATCTTTGGAGGTCGAGTTGGAAATCTTGTCCGTTTCAGACTTTTCTGCCGATCTAGGGATAGACTGCGAACGGCGGTTGGGCTCAATCAGTGGAACGTTGGCCTCTGTGCTCGATGTCACCATGGGTTCGCGCTTTCGGGCCGAGGAGTCGTCTCGTCGATAGAGCATTCATCATGCGCATCGTTGACCGTAGCCGTAGGGAAGGACTTCTTCGGACTGTGCGGCAGCGGGATGTCGGTTTGTGTTCCTGCTTCGACTTCTTTCTGTTAGCGAAACTAGAGTTACTACTTATGGCCAATTACACACCGAAACACTTCGAAACGCCAGTGCTATGTTCGGCATTGGCTTGGAGGTCGATGTCACTTGTACTCTTGATACTGGTGATCTTCTTTCCAGCGTTCTCGAGGGTCTCGATGCGACCAACAGCAGTTGAAAGAATCTCTAAACAGAATTCTTGATGCTGTTTGACGAGGTTTACGAACGTGTCGTGTTGAAAGAGCGTTGGGAGATGGGGCTCGATGGCTCGCTGCATCTCCTCGTGCATAGGCACCCACGCGTCATCCTGCTCAGCTATAATGACCTCGATGACAATGTAAAAGTCTCCGATTCTGTCGATACTGCTTGACAGGATCTCACCGAGCAAGGTGCCCGCCTGTGAAGCAATCACCTCTTGGAGAGGGAGAACGGCGAGGGTCGCGGAAACCTCGTATAAAGAAAGGAGGTCGATTACATCCGTCTTGTTGGCGATCAGGCTTTCTGCTAAGTGTCAGCGCATCATTCATTTGGACTTCTCAGTTCAGATAGCGTTACTCACCTCCAAAATAGAAGTACTTCAAGACGGTGTCCAAAGCCGAATAGGGGAACATGCGCTCCTTGAGAGGGATTCTTCTCACTCCTTCTTTCTGGGGGCGTTCGTTAGTAGGCAACTCCGCTTGAAAGATCATGTTCGACCTCGCGAGACAATAGACCGTGTAAGGAGCTCACCATCTCAACCATCTCTAGGATGTGGTCAATCAGGCCACTCTTGCCGCGCATGAATTTGTCATGGAGCTCCCACTTGCTGCCACCCATTGTGAGGAGAATATCCGCATCCTTCTTCGTCTCCCAAAGGCTCGAGTGCGTCAGCAAGGTAGAGCAATTGGGATTTTGGAGTAGACTCACGATGTAAGGTCCGGTTCCTTCATGGCCTCTTCGCCGCCTACGCGGAACGGGATTGGCATAGTGTGCAGGAGGTCACTGGTGCCAAGAGCAATTTACCAATATACAGGACGATTCAGGTGAGAGGTGAGAATTGGATGTGATGTATACGAGTAGGTAATAGGAAGACAAAACGTGGATTGAATTGATCAACAGAAATTTCGGTGTGAAAAGTTCGCTGTGAAGTGGATGGCGGGGGGAGATGACCGCAGAGATTGCGGCGGGAGAAAGATGCAAGGCAGTCTTGAGGCTGGTACCTTCCATTTGTGTCGGTCTTGGTGGACAACCCCCTCCCGGAAGGAAGCAAGGAGCGACGAGCTTTTCCTACCTCAGTTAATTCAAGCCTCGCTCAGCCTGTAGAGAGCCGCAGATGGCATCTTATGATCTTTCCAACGTTGAAAAGGTGCTGGATACTTCCCAACATGTACATGAAGCTCTGTATGGTCTTTTCCAGGGCAATACGGTTTCAGGTGTCCTCGCAGCCCTGTCTATGCCGCTTCGGCAGGTCATGGCAGAAGCTCAAGCTGTTAGGAGACACCAATACCCAAACTTGCGAGTTTGAGTCTTCTTGCTCAATCTTGTACGATCATCTTGGAGCAGGTGAATTAAAATACACATCCATCTCGTGAATAACAGCAAGGTATATACCTGAGTCCATTCTTGCCACGCAACCTAGCAATGGCGGCACCATTTCATTCCAAAAGCCATCGATATATGACTTGCCCATAGGTCTAACACTCAGCTGCTCCAAAGAGACTCTATATCGACAGTATCGAAGACATCTTCATCATCGAACTCCCTATCTTCATCTTCTTCTGCAGCCTCACTGGCGGCGCTGCTGCCTTGGTTGCCCCCGTTCTCAATGGCTTCCATCCTCAAGACAAACTCCTCGCGAAGACGTATCAAGTAGCTGCTCATCGCTGACTCGTCCATCTCCGAGTTGCTGACCTGTTTTAGCTGTTCGTGAAGATTGAGGATGAGCTTGCGTCGATTGAGCATCTTTCTCGCTTGTGAAGTCTGCTTCTTCCGCTCCCTTTGTTCACGCAATGAAATGGCGACTTGCTCCGCAACCTCAAGGAACCGCTTGGGAAATGCCATGGCCTTGGCAAGAGTAATACCATAGAGCAACTGCTCAGTCTTTCCAGACTCTACTTTGTACATCATGGTCATCATGGGTACGTCGTTGTCTGTCGTTGAAACTTGAGTGACGAGACGGAGATTAAGTACTCCAGGGCGATCAACTAGGACGTCGGCTAAGGCTCTCTGGGTCAATTTCTGGCCACGCCCGCTAGAAACAAATCAAGGGGCGATGCTAAGGGACTTACCGAGTTCTGTAAAGTGAGTTGCAAACCACACAATAGCTCGACTCTGTATAAGGGCTTCGGCTATGGCAATCGCGATAGCCAGTCCATCTCGGGTGCTTGTGGCTCGACCTAGCTCATCGATGATGACGATGCTCTTGTGCGTGACATTGCTTGGGCATGTCAGTATGGGCAGCTTTCCCAGGTCAACAGCACATACCTAAGGATAAAAGCCACTTCTCTCATCTCAAGCGAGAAACTTGACATGTTGGACTCGATTTTGTCATCTGTAGTCACCCGAGCGAAGATATTGTGGACGATGGGAAAACTGGCGTATTCGACGGGCACGAAGCAGCCAATTTGCGCCATGATCTGGAGCAGAGAGATACTCCTGATATAAGTGCTCTTCCCACTCATGTTGCAGCCGGTCACAACCTGGAAGCGGTGCTCCTCGGTGGCGTAATAATCATTCGGTACGAAGCCACCCTTCATAGTCTGTCTAGGATCAGCATGCGCTCAGGGCAGTAGCGGATGAGCCAAACCTTGTCCATGATGGGGTGCCTAGCAGCCTTAAGCGCTAGGGTATCTGATATTTCAGGTCTTCTCCAATCATACGTCGAACTTGCTTGTGCAAATGATGCAATCATGTCGAGCAGTGCGATTGAATCGCAGACGCGGTAGAGGGGCTGCATTTGGGTTCGAATGTTGTCAATGAGGTCCTGGATTACCTTGTCACTCAGCATAACCACCTCAGCAACGGAGTCGGTAATTCTCTGGTTCAGTTTCTTGAGATGCATTGTAAGACATTCGATGTAGCGACCTTTCTTCGTCTGATTGACAAGCACCGCAGGTAAAGCTCGGTCCTCGAAATCCACTGCCCGCATTCGGAGGCTGTACTTACGGCCATTATCGAATCTTAGGATGGCCTCGATACCGTGCTCGCCTGCAGGTTTTGTTAGAATGAGATGGAGGTAGTGATAGTGACGGAGATCAATTACGATTCAACTGTTCGACATGTTCATGGACGTCATCAGTGTTTTCTTTGTAAGCTTGTCTAGCAACATCGAGAAGCCCGTTGATTCCAGGCTGCTTCATTGTTAGCCAAACTCCAATATCAGTGGCCAGAAGTTACTCGCCTTTACCGCAAAGGTTCTTTGGTTTCGTAGATCAAGAGCACTTTTCACGTAGTGGACATCCTCATGGATGTTTTCGTACACAAGCTCTCTGACTACTGCAGTCAATTCTGGCCGGCATAGATCTCTGATTTTGGTGAGAAGAGGAGACGTGGCAGATCCTAGCGCCTGAAAGACTGGCGGAACGGCGTCTATAAAAGTCTTGACCATGAGAATATGGTTGATGGCTCTTTCAGAAGCCTCAACGGACGGTTTGTTGGGGATGATGACGAGCTAGTCCAGTCAGCAGAGCATGGAAGAGGTAGGTGTTTTTGTGATTCGGTACCTTGGTCAACATGTTCTCAACGTCAGGAAAAGCTTTCAAAGCTGTACAATATCAGTAGACTGCCGAGTCCGAGAATTTGGAATGTTCAGACCTGTTCGAACCTCTGCAAACATGTCGTGATTTGCAAGTAGCTCCTCCAAAGCGTCATACCTAGGCTCGAGGTATGAATCTTTGAGCGTGGACGGCTGCAGTAGATTACTTCGAAGCACCCGACCGCCCATGGGTGTCAGTGTATGCTTGAGAACACCGTAAAGGCTGTCATTAGATGTCGCTTGACGTCGATTTTGAAGAATCTCAAGAGACATGATAGCGGACACGTCAATCATCATGGTATCTTCCGAGGGCTGGTATCGAATGCGAAGAGAATGTGGGACTACACGTACGGAGAACTCAAGCTCCAGGAAACTCATGATCTTTGTGATAAGTCAGTCTTTATCCTGTCATAGATTCTCGAGATTTGATCATATTCGTACCGCGGCAAATGAGCAAGTTGCATAGAAGCTGCCTTGAATGGCAACCTTCACAGCTTCTGCGTCTTCTCGGAACGCAAAGGTTCGAATTCGATTGAGCCCATCTATCTCTGACCAGTACTTTCTATCAAGAGATGTGATTTTCGTATCCGGCATATGTTCCTCGATATGGCTGTATAGCCTCGACTTGGGGTTCGGTGGGCAGCACGAGCTGACAATCAGGAGATGAGTTGGCTCCATGATCTGAAGTTTGTGGAGAGTTCGAACGAAGAACCTGTTGTCAGAAATTTGGCTGAGAATAGCTTCCCCTGTATCAACGTTGAAGAATACAATGCCAACAGCAGGAGTTATTCCACGAGCCTCGCTTAGCGCGCACACAATGGTGTGCTTGGCGCTGTTGGGCAGAAAAGGGGTTCGCGACGTGCGACTGGTGTGGGAAGTGCTCGGCCGGGTCGTGTGGGATCTTGACATAGTACCACTAGGTTCAGTGCGGTAGTCGTGACTTGAGGTGTAGGCAGAACCGGACACAGGTTCTTCTACCAAAGAGGGCGTCGGCGTTGCCGTGTAGGAGCCGCTTACTCTCGAATTTGTCGAGCTAGGGCCCGTTCTTGAAGTTGTTCGGGAAAAGTACGGAGAGTCTCTTCCATATGATGCCGGTGTCTGAGAAGGAGTAGTCATGAAGCCAGTCGAAGGCCGTGAGGGTTGCGAGTATCGAGAATCCATATCGTGGCCACCTAGAGTTGGCCAGCCGAGATGTTATGGTTCAGGAGATGACTGGTCTACTACAACGTTAGGTGGAGAGGCTCAGATGTTGACATATAGGAAGAGGTTTGCCCACATCTTGTTGCGGAAGAGGTCGACGGAATGCCGTTAAAAAGGGCAGAGAGACCTCGTGCCAAAATCGCAGCAACGGGCAACAGCTCCTGCCTGACTTACACGGACGAGCCGGGGTTGTACCGGCCGAGCCAAGAGTGGGGCAATGTACACCAGCCACATAGGCACAATCAATGGGCGCACAGCCACTAGAATAATGCGATGTCGACCGGTGGAGTCAAGTCGTCATCCCTACGGCCCCGACACGTCAGGAAGAGTTTGCGACAGGCTTGGAAGACCAATCCGCACAGGAAGCCGAACCGCGTCGCGCCGCGACACCACGACTCGAACCGCCCTTCTCGACCGACACGGATCCGGGACCAGGCTTTTGAAGCCATCGCGACATTGGTGTTCAGTCGCCCGTCCCGCCGTCAACATGTTTGGCATCCTGGGCACCCGCGACCGCAGCGATGGCACCGAGGAATATGCCTCATTCGAAGAGCTCTTCGCGGCGCTGAAGACGCGCATGCAAAAAGATGGGTACAAGGTCGTCAAGTCGCGTACCCATCGCAACAAGGTCGGCGGCACCTACGAGAAAGGAAGTGAGGTCGTCAGATGTGATCTCGTTTGCGACCGCGGGGGGCAGCCTTACAAATGCACGGCGACACAGCTGAAGACATCCACCAAGAAGACCAATTGCCCTTGGAAGGCCAAGGCCGTCAATCGTAAGACGCTGGGGAAATGGATCTTGACGATCATATGCAGCGAACATAACCATGAGGCGCGCACGCCTGATCCGCCGACCGATGAAGAGGATGCGGATGCGGAAGGAGATGCCGACGTCGTCCAGGACGTATCAGTTGGTTCGTCTTCCTTCGCTATTGCCATCCGTTGCTCCAAACTAACCTTAATAGTCCCAGAAGTGCAGAGCTCTGGTCCGGCGCCAGATCCCACAACAGCCGCTCTCCTTCTCATGGTGGGAGCCGCTCCCAATACGATGCGACTTACCGGCGAGACCTTTCATAACTTTAAGTCGGAGTACCGCAAGATGTCGAAACCTGAACGCTTGGGTATACTATCCCAGATGCAACTTCGCATCGCAGCCATATACGCCGTCGAGAACGAGGATATGCAGAGACAAGAAAGGCAGGCCAGACAGGAGAAAAAGCATCAGGAAATCGAAGAGAGTCGACGCAAGTCGCAAAGCACACAACAGCCGCAGCAGCAGGCACCACAGCAACAACTGCCGCAACCGCCGCCGCCGCCGCCGCAGCAGCAGCAGCAGCATCAGCAAGTGCAGCATCAGCAATATCAACAACATCCACAACAGCACCAGCAGCAACAAGTACAGAATCATAATCTTAACCACAACCACGGCCATAATCACAACCGGGTTCAGCAGCAGATGAACCAGATGTCTCGGGAGGGTATGGCCGGTATGCACAAGCACCCGTTTGAGCAGACGGCCCACGATGAGCATGCGCAGTATAGAGACCGACAAGCTGAGATCGAGGAGCGCAACCAGAGGACGATGCAGATGCGCGGGCAGCACCTTAACAACTCTTTCCAGCAGCAGAATGCTGTCCAACAGACGCCCATTCCCGTGCCCCAATTCGGCATGCAGTCAGCCCAAGGCCAGCCGCAAGTGTTCCATCAGTACACTGCGACGCCTACGAACAACGCAATGCCAAAGGGGGCTGCAGGCGGCTCACCCGCCACGGGCTCAAAGAGGCGTGGCCGGCCGAAGAAGACAGCCATGGACCAGAGCCTCGATGCCAGCCTTCACATGGGAAGATAGTCGACCGCTTGCATTGTTGGTCGTCGGAGGAATATGGAGGGAGTGTATGTACCGAGTTTAAGAAGGACTCAGTGTGTGTAATGTGTAAGAGGGTTACGGCATACCCTACCGGACGGAGGAACTGGGGCATGGCGTTTATAAGGATACCAGCGCAGCAAGCTGACCCGGACATATTTATTGTTCTTCTCGCTGAAAAAGCACAGTTCCGGGAGAGAGCTGCCAGGATGGCTCTCGGAGTTTGTTCATCGTCTGAACTGGGGTGTCATTTTTATCTTATCAATGCCCGCACTAACAGAAGACATATTGTTTCTCCACTTGCAAATGCTAGCGATGACATTTTCGGTGCCGTTGTAGTGGGGACGTCGCAACCACGGGCACTTTTTGACCGATGGTCGCTGGTCCACCGTCCCGTCTGCACTTCAAAATTTCTGCCCCACCATCCCGCATCGCCGTAGTCGAAATATTTCTGACAATTTCAAAGGCCAAAAACAGGACGATTTTCGAGCAGGCGGTCAACCGACGCAACAATCATGGCGACGGTACTCCCCCCGCCCTCGAAGCGCCAAAAGCGCGAGACGCTTGAGAAGACCCAGACCCAGCAAGATGTCACAGCAATGGCTCCGGGCCTCGAGGGCTCCTTCAAGGCCCGCTTCGTCGACGGCGACGGACAGCGGCTGGCTGAGGTGATTGAGGTGCCACTCGCCGACGCCTCTGAGAAGAACTTGACTCTCCTCCTCAACACCTTGCAAGGAAAGGTAAGCCATATCCTACCAATTGATAATACCATAAACAGCCATCGTCTGACCCCCAAAACAGGACAGAGAAGACTTCCTCCCGTACAAGTTCCGAATCCACATCCCCGACACAGACATCATCGTCGACCAATACCCCACCAACCTCCTCGAGCTCCTCCGCAGCCATGGCGTCGCAAATCCCTTTGAAACAACAGTCACCCTCAGTGCCGAGCCCCAGGCCGTATTCAAGGTACAAGCCGTCACCCGCATGGCCCACCGCATCCCAGGCCACGGCGAAGCCATCCTTTCAGCCCAGTTCTCACCCGAGACCAGCAAGAGGTTAGCAACGGGCGGAGGTGACAAGACGGCGCGCATATGGGACACTGAGACAGGCACCCCGAAGTTTACACTCTCCGGCCACACTGGTTGGGTGCTCTGCGTGGCGTGGGCCGCCGACGGTCGCCGCCTTGCAACGGGCAGCATGGACAAGACGGTCCGCCTCTGGGATCCAGATAAAGGCGTCGCCGTCGGTCAACCCCTGGCGGGCCATGCGAAATGGGTCACCGGCATCGCCTGGGAACCCTACCACCTTTGGCGCGACGGTACTCCCCGCCTGGCATCCGCCAGCAAGGACGCAACGGTGCGCATCTGGGTCGTCAACACGGGGCGGACAGAGCATGTCCTCTCGGGCCACAAGAGCAGCGTCAGCTGCGTGAAATGGGGCGGCACCGGGCTCGTCTACACGGGTAGTCACGACAAGACGGTCAAGGTCTGGGACTCAGTCAAGGGCACCCTCGTACACACGCTCTCCTCGCACGCTCACTGGGTAAACCACCTCGCTCTGTCTTCCGACTTTGCCCTGAGAACGGGCTTCTACGACCACACGCCCACTCCGGACACTGAAGAGGCGCGCCGCGCAAAGGCAAAGGAGCGCTTCGAGAAGGCCGCTAAAATCCAGGGCAAGGTAGCCGAGCGCATTGTTTCGGCCAGCGACGACTTCACAATGTACCTCTGGGACCCGTCGCAGGGCACGAAACCCGTGGCACGCATGCTGGGTCACCAGAAGCAAGTCAACCACGTCACCTTCTCCCCTGACGGCACCCTCATCGCCAGCGCGGGCTGGGACAACCATACCAAGCTCTGGAGCGCGAGGGACGGCAAGTTCATTAATACCCTTCGTGGACACGTCGCACCCGTGTACCAGTGCGCCTTCTCCGCCGACTCGCGGCTGCTCGTGACCTGCTCAAAAGATACCACGCTCAAGGTGTGGTCTATGGCGACGCACAAGCTGGCTTCAGACCTACCGGGGCACCAGGACGAGGTGTATGCCGTCGACTGGAGTCCCAGAGATGGGCAGCGTGTGGGCAGTGGTGGAAAGGACAAGGCTGTGAGGTTGTGGTGTCACTGAGGGAGAAGTACCGCGCGCTTGCGTTGCGCGAGGTGGGCAGTTGCTGCAATGCGTGGTCTTGCGCATATGATGGATGGGATTTTTTTGGCAACTAGAATACGGATACACAAAAGAGAATATACCCCATTTGTTCCCAAGTTGTGTACCCCTTACATGCCCCTTGCTTTGGCTTGAGCTACACCTTGAACCGCTAAGTTCGACGTCGGCGAAGTGTGCCATTGGGACGTACGTATTCGCATCGATCTGACATGAACTCTGTCAGATTGAGTTTACTCCTAGACCAATTGTTCATTCCGTAAGCGTTTGTCAAAAGCCAAACTACGTTCCCTGAACAGCGATGCCAGCCTGTATGCTGTTTTGCCCAGAGCACGGGTAACTACATCCAGCATCACCCCGGATGGCCAAGACAGAGTGGAAGAACTCCCTCCGCAGACTTGTTTGATCTGCACAGCCTTAAAACAAGGGCCACTGGCCACCGGCGCTTAGGTCAAGGCTCTTTTAAGGCCCAAAGCCTCAGTCATGAGGAAATCGTTGCTTGAGAATAAAATGCCGACCAAAGGTTCCTCAAGAGGTTGATTGGCCGAACACGAGAAAACCTCAGTTACGCAATGGACAGCAAAGACAACGAGAAAGGGGCATTAGAGCATGGAAGCACCACGAAGCTCACGACAGCCTCATTTCTCGGAGACATTGAAACCGTAACTTCAACCTCTTTTGCAAGCGAAGATGAACGCATGCAAGCACTCCTGGGCACGTACGCTCTATTGGCACGCCTAGAGTCCCCATGGGAGACATTGGTGAGGATCTGCATGACACAGGTAAGAGATGATCTTCATAGTCAACCGACCTTTCTTGAGCTTGCCGCAGGAATCTCACACAAATGTAGCCGGCTCTTGGTGCAACTCTAAAGATCTTGAAAGACCTACAGCTTCTCGAAAAATGGCAGGCTCGGAAAGGGGAACCGATGACCAGTTGCCAGCTCGCTGAGCTTCTTGGAGGCAGATGTGAGCCAGCGCTACTTTGTAGGTCATTCTTTCCATCCTACAGGCTTGTCAATGACTTACCTTATGGTATAGATCGGTTCCTACGTCTAATGGCATCGAACCATCTACTCGAAGAAACATCGATAGGAGTCTTCAAACCAACATCATTCGGAATCGCCATCACGGCACCGGTATTCGACAGTCTAATCCATAGCTTGTAAGAACCCTCCCTTCAACATCCTGAAGAACACCCCGCAGCTTACACTCCATAGCAACGACACAATCCTCCCAATGTACGCCAAAATGCCAGAGTACTTTTCAAAAACGCACTATACAAACCCACATGACTCCTCCAGCACAGTCTTCCAATACGCGCATCAGTGGGACGGCGATCTGTGGTCATACTACCAAGCCCACCCCAAACAGCAAGAGCAATTCAACATCATTCAACAGACGATCTCGGGACAGCATCCTTCATGGACAGAGATATTCCCTGCTGAGCGATTGATGGAGGGAGATGATGATTCTCAGGTGCCATTGCTGGTGGATGTTGGCGGGAGTACCGGGCACGATGTTCTCAAGTTCCACTCCATCTACCCAGAGACAGCCTCTCGATTGTATCTCGAGGATTTGGGACCTGTTGTTGAGAAAGCTGTCTTGCCGGAGGGAGTGCACAAGGTTTCATACGACTTCTTCATAGCTCAGCCGATACAAGGTGAGTAGACCCTTCTTCTCCTCTCACAACGGAACAGAGGAACCCCCCTCACCCCTGATCAGTACTAAAGGCACAATACTCACACATCTAACAGGAGCAAAGGCATACCTCATGCACTCCATCCTCCACGACTGGTCTGATGCCCCAGCTCGCAAGATACTAGAGATGCAAAAGGACGCAATGACGCCCGGCTTCAGCAGGTTACTCATCCACGACCACATCGTCGAAACAGCACTAGCACACCCCCAGGCAACAGCTTTCGATATCCAAATGATGGCCATGGTCGCCGGTCGAGAGAGAACGGAGGAGCAGTGGAAAGAGCTGGTTACCTCGGCTGGATTATGTGTCGTCAGAATATGGAAGCTGAAGTCTGCTGTGCATAGCATTATTGAAGTTTCCAAGTAGACATAGGAGTATCCCGAATCGGAACATATGAGTATTCCACTTCCGCCTAGGTAATATCTTCCTGCCTACCTCAGCATGGTCCTGTCTAGTATGGTCCTGCCTTAAGGAACCTATATAACTCCCCTCAATCCCATTCCATCACCAGCCAGCAGGCGCCCGTCTAGGACGACGGGTCAGGTCAAACTGGCTGGATGGTGGAGTGTTACAAGGTCGACAATCAATTATATACGCCAACCAGCCTACCCGACGACAGGCTTAGCGATTACCCGAGTCCGAATCCCAGCAGGAGCACCAAGAGATGTAGCCCCATCCGGGGGGGCGAACGTTTCCCCCCCCTTTTCCCGCTCATCTATTAGACTCTGCTTCTCCCATCCTCTTGAAGCGTACTTGATTACCTTGAAAACAACGATTTCTGTAAGGTTATATCGTATCTTAGCCAAGCTCAAATCCCACGACTTCCCCGGATAGCCTCAACCCAACCGGCTTAGAATCACCCCTTCCACCTGCGGCTCTATGTCATCGGCCCCACTTACGGACCAACGGGACACTGAACTCGGAGACTCTTGCGGGAATCCAGTCGGAAACCGGGACAAAGGGAAGCAGAAAAGGCACGGCAATATCGGGCAGCCGGACAAACCGGCAGGGAAATCAGGCGTTTCTCCTTAGCCGAGGTCGCACACCGAGGAAGCCGGCAAGTCCACAGTAAGGTGATTTCACAAGACACAAGCAAGCCAACATAACCTTGCTAGGCATGACCTTGAGACGTAATGTATTACTGATGTGTCGTTTTCGTCGAATATTGAGCAACACGAGATCGGCCTTCACATGCAGTCCGGGCATTACCAATGATCACCACATACTCACGACACTCGCAATGCACATAGGTAGTAGCTTTATCCGGGAACCAAACTACCACACCCCAAAGGCAAGGATATCAATTGCCTGTTGCTGCACCCCATTTTCCCACAGACTTCGTCGATCCCAAATTTAGGGATAGTGACAGAGATGCTCGCGGTCGAACGAGCCACGGAATTGGATGCCCTGCATAGGTACGGTAGACTCTCCGCATCCTGCTCTCCGGAACGAATCAGAAGATACCTAAATATCTGTGCAGACAGGAAGAGGCTGAAGGTAGCGTATGGTAGATCCCTCGCGCAAGACCGCGTTACTGCACGTCGTCGCGGCCTGCATGCATTTGCACCTCTGCGATGGATCCTTGGCATTAGTCCGTCAAACCCGATCGTTCCATCTTTGGCCCGCCCCTCTTCCCCAACAGCAGCTTATCATGTATTCTATAGTAGGAACTTGTGCCGTCTGACATCCCTCTCCGCATCATAGGCAACGGAACCATCTAGATTGGGCTAGAAATTCCGTGCCGCTGGTGGGCTGGTGGATGTGCATCGGCGTTGTCCCATCAGTCTGTTCTGATATGAGCATGATGGCATCCCGTCGGCGGTGCATAGAGCGCACACTATTGTGCGACCACCTTACCCAGTACTATGGCGGAACTGCAGGGCCGGGCCGCCCCTAGTAAAGTATCGAGTAAGGCCGGGCACCGCCGTCACTGAGTGGAAGGCCGAGCGCTAATGGAGGTGCAGTACTAGTGCTTGAACCTCAAATCCTCATCTTGACCTTTGAACAATGTCAATAGCCAGGCAGAGTCTTGGTCGGGTAGGTCTAGAACATGAAGGAGGGGCCAAATATTCCTCGTTGGGCCAACTCAACACGGAGTGACCAAGATCCGGTTGAGCTGAGCCTGGAGCCCAGACACTGGGATAGTGGCTTCGAATAAGATGGGCGGGGAAATTCTATCATATATGATGTTTCTGTTTCCGTGTCTAGACAAGGGACCATATGCCAAGTAGCTGGTTTGCAGTTGGCGCCTGAAGAGGAGAGGCATGATGTGGCGGATATTCGGACTAGCTATGAATAGTCACCTCAGCGGTGATTTGTTTGACCAAGCTGATTCTGACGCGCGCTGGGCGCCGGAGGGATGGCTGTCTGCCGTCTTACATTTAGCCTATGGAAGCGTTGAGAGCTGAGTGTCCACTGCACCATCGGGTTATACCGGACGAGTGCTATCAAGGTTGACGACGAAGTGATGTCAATGAGGGTGTCGAGGAGGACTCGAGAAGTTGAGCTCAAAGGAGCAGAATAGAGATGGGGTGCAACGCGGCTGCGGTTGACGTGAGGGGAACATGTCGCTTGGACTGGGGTTCGATTGTGTGGGGAAAGATGGGACATCGACATGGAGTTGAAGTGAATCAAGCTGTGGATTTCCCGTGTGGATTGCGTTGTTGGATGCCACGAGGTTGACATGAAAGCTTTGACTGGAGGGAAGTCTTCGTGTTCTGAACCAAATCCTTCATCCATGGGTTGATTGGGCCGCAACAACTCTTAGAGTCACAGCCGCTTCGGCTGAGCGGCCGCTGTTGAGGCATTTCTTACTTGTTGATATTTGGTTCTGATGCCCAATCCAAACATCGAGGAGCAAAATGGTTGGCGATAGGAGAGACGTACAGCCGAGCTTATACTGCCGCAGTACTTGCCGATCGGCGTCGCATGTAACAGGCTTGCGAGTGTGTCGACCCTTGGCATACTGCCCAACACAGATGGCACTGAAGTAAACGTGTGCACTACTCCAAGGACCAAGGCTCAGCAATATCGCGCTTCGGTTGTGGCTGCGTCGTGAAGAATGGTAAGCAGGAACGAGGGGGCCACGGTCACTCCTCTACCTTTACCCGAGGCCTCCAAAGGATTCATGGAGGTGCGATGATTCGACACACCAGTCCAGGCCCCCAGGTTCTCTGCATAATAGCCCAGAATTGTAGCAACACGCGTCCCGGTTCAGATTCAGGCCTCTCGGTGCTCTTGTCACTGCTAGACCCTCGCCATCTCCGCCTTGTTGGGTTAGACGAGAATACGGCCTGCCTGACTATCTTCTGGAGAGTCGCTCTTTTGGGACTGTTGCAGGAAGCACATGCTTCTCAAGATGATCGCGGCAGTGGGCGACAGTCGAGATAACGATAGGGCCTGTAGAGGGCAAACATGGGTTCCTGTCGAACTTCTTCTTAGGACGCAGACTCACGGAATCCGAAAACCCAGAGCGAAGTTTTCCCGCGCGCCGTGGTCTCTCCGAACCTCAAGATCGAAGTGGGCGCTGTTAAGCCACCGCAGCCGCCTCAGTGGATGAAGGTGGATAGGAAGCTAGGCCGAACTGGCCGGATGATTGACTGAAACTTTACAGATGGAGACATACCGGTAGCGATGGTTCTCCCCGAATGCCTAGTTAGTCCCAAGAGGGGTCTCCTGTCACATGGGCCTGCTGCTCCATCCTGAGAATGATCCATACAAGGTCTTCAACGTCGAAGAAACAGAGGGGGGGAAAAGACGAGGTAAAGAAAAAAAAAAAAGCGTGGAACCCGAGCCCGAGGCCGCAGGGACCAGGGACCCGGCCAGAGCCAGCGATTCTGCCAGGGTGTCGAGGCATGACAAGGGAGGAAAAGAGATGTTTGGAAGGTTGCCTTGGCCGCTCGGTCAAACTCTGCAAGCTTCAATCAAGACCCTGCTGGTCCCAAGATGTCTATTGTCCATCTGGGTGCTGAGCTCTTCCAACGCTGAGTGATGCCGTGCCTTGCCTAAGAGCCTAAATTGATGGAATCGAGAGTTTGCAAGATGGACTGAGTTTGGGGTTTCGCGTTGCACCTGGTCTAACGTGGATAGTAGAGGCCAAGGGCCAAGCTCTCGGATTACTGTTGCCGGATGGCAGATGATGTTAGTTGGTGGTAATCCAGTGGTTGTATCTGTCGAAGCTTTCCGGCGGTGCCACGAAGAAGGGTTCCTCGACGGGCAGAGGGGAAAATAGCGTAATGCCTCATGGCAATGACAAGATCTCGAAGCTGTCTATCTGAGGCGCTGCAGGCGGCAAGCAACCGCCTGAAAGTTATTGATCTCAGGTCTAAGAATTTCGTCAGCGAGGCGTGCCCGGATGTGTGGTCAAAGGGTGGCCACGCGATGGGCGGCGAGTGGATGGGTTACCTACATAGAGTGGTGTATCGTCAACCCAAGGGTCTTGTCCGTCGTAGGGCGAAGCACCAGGTTATCTGTGGATGTCGGGCTGTGCTGGGGTCGCACGAGTTGCATATGCAGCGTCGATGTTGATGTGCAGCTGTACCGCAAAACGAGGTTTGTGTGTGCGCCAGGGTGGTGGGCGGCAACGCTCACAGGGAAAGGGACGTCCTGGCTCGGTGGTATTGCCGAGCCATTGGAGGACCTGGTGATGGTAATGGTGGTGGTGATCGATGCTCGTGCCGAATCTCGTCGGGCAAAACTAGGCCACGATGTGGTGGTTGGATGGGAGTGATGATTTGTTGGAGGTGCTGATGAAGAAAGATGAACAAGGTGGTAGTGGTGGTGGTGTTTTTAGTGTTAGTGTTTGTCTTTTGTTTCCCCCTCATTCCAACCAAAAAGAGAAAAGAGGAGTCAAGATGAAGCAAAGGAGGGGAGCCGCGATGGAGGAGACTGGACGAAAATGAGAGGCTTGGGAAGCGAAAGACTACGTGATGTTGCCAGACACGATGCTTTCCAGATGTTTCTTAGGACAGCCACCACTAACTCATGGCTGTAGTTTAACTCTCTTCTCCACGAGGGAGGCACCTCCCGCCTCCCATTTGCGCCGATCTGGTGAGCGTACCTCACCAAATAGCAGTGGCTTGTTGGCGCGTTGCACTTACTTGATTGGCGTGACATGAGGAGTGTGTGAGAGAGAGAGGCAGGAATCACTGGTGAAAAAAGGGCTGCGTTCATGAGAAGAGTCTCAGTTCATTCCTCTTCAGCTCGAATGAGGCGGACTGAACGAGATAACAAGGAGGCAAGCGGGCTTGTCATGGCCATCATGCTGGCGCCATGAAATCAGCAGACCCTACGGTCACGAAGCGCGACAGATACTGGCTCGTGCTGCTCATGGTGTGAGTGAGTGCGCACAGTTTGAGCTGGCCAGT